TATGATTAAATTCTAGGCTAAGACATACATGAAAACCAGCACACAGTGTCTTCAGAAGGCCATTTCCATCACTTTACATCTATGTAAGAATGGAGATTTGTGTTCCATATTGTTGCGGTTGGACAAGTAATGAGTGCATTTATGAGGCTAGATTGGCAAATCGTGTTTGGAAATGAAGGTTATATCCTTATGAGAAAGTGAATAATAATTTAAAGTGCCCAAATCCGACTCATACAGCGAAACACCTTGTTTGTTTTGCACATCGCAATAGGAAGCCCTGTTCACTAAATTCGACCGAAATAACTTAACGAAAAAATTCTTTCGCATTAGGCTGCTTGTAGTTAAAATTAGTAAAATTGTGCTCTTTCCCTGCCGCTTGAAAATATGACGGCATGGTCACTTAACCGTGTCAATATCGTTTATTCTATACGTAATGCAATAACAAAATTCCCTTTATACTACTATGGCTTACTGTAGTTACAGTTGGCTCCTGCCGGCCTCATGCACTCCAGTTAATTTTTTGGGGTCGGGACATCCAACATGCGTAAGCACTCTTACCGCAGCTACCCACACAACCGGTGGATATACGCGACCCACCAACTGCAAATAATTTAAACTCTCATTGAAGTGAACAGGTCTGCCAGATCCAAATTCCATTTAATTGTTACAATTGAACGAGAATCAAATGTCAACTATCGTTCTTCTCTCACTCCAATCAACATCATCCAACGGGGCAATAACTGCGCCTCGAAATCTAAATCTCTTCTGTTTTTGGTAGAATGATTGTGTAAGTCCAGTTGCCACACAGAATCGGAAGGGTACCACCTTCCCCAATATTTTACCAATGGTTTTCAGAGTGAAGGTTTAGAATGGTGTCTGACTACTCACGCAGAGGTAACCACTGTTCAATAAGGCAACACAGTCGATTACCTTACTCAATAACTAGTGGAATAACAATCTGTATTGTACCCTATGGGGCAACTGTTGCACATCTTTGGTGTAGGTGAAAAAACTGGCCTCAAAGTGTTCAGTATATGGAGGAATTTCCTAAATTTGATGAAGGTAGTCCACACCAACAGCAGTTAGAGGAACATTTTGGCCACTAGGTCGGGTACCCTAAAGGCTGTAGCTAAGGCAATTGGAGAATAGTGCCACTGTTGCCCTCCAAGTCTTCCTCAGTATCGTGCCAAGCCACACCAGCATGAAGATCACGCAGTGCTAACCCACAGTAGGATTGAAAGGCAACTGGTATGACTTAAAATGCATGCCCTAAGGCGGATCTGCAATCCAAGCAGACTCAAGGGTCAGCGAAATTAAACAAAATAGCACATGACTGCAAATTTCAGAGCCTCAATACCGTGTTACAAATTTATGGTGGGTACATTGATAATAATGTCCTTAAAATCGGCGGATATATGTGCCTCGGAATTCCACTGAAATACGCCCCAGCTGGTTATAGGAGATGGGCAAAATTTGTCAGGCTATTCTGGTGTGCAAATGTTCTTCAATGCAAAGAGTCCTTGTGCTCGTGAAACCTACCACAATGACTAAAAGTTTAGATATTAGGGTAATGCTATTAGTTTTTTATGCATTAGGAAGCAATGTCGGCATGATCTGAATCGCAAACTTTACTTCGTTGCCCATTTTGACAGTGAATTCTGACAAACCACCATCATTTCTTACGGATTCAAAAGCGTTACGCCAGTACAAAAAGTGATGTCCTAGCAATCTTTGAATAACTATTCATTGCGGATATTAGTTTGCTCCGCAGCAGTAAGTGTGATTGAGACAGCTCTGTACCTTCAATAGTTGATAATTTGAATGCGTAATTCCTTTTTCTCTCTACTGGGGATAGGGAAATATGAAGCATGGGGTAGTTATGAAGTGCCCTAACGATCATCATGAAATCGATAGGGAGTTTTAAGCAAGCTTTAATTAAATTTTTCGAGGGTCAAAGAATTAAAAACTACAAATTTCTATGTTTAATTTCGACATCGGTTTGCAACAATATACGCTGTTGGGGGCGGATGAACGATTTTGATAACAAGGGCATCTGCAAACAGAAGGCCTTTTCTTGGTGCTATTTCATAAACAGCTGCTAAACGTAAGAAATTAAAAAAAATTTACTCTACAGACTTAATAAAAGTAGATTTTGTTTTTTTAATGGCTAGCATTCTGTTTGTCACCACACGCGATTGGAGTCAGGGAAAAGATGTACCCATTTGGCAAAATTCATAAGAAATTCTATCTCCAGTTTTGACTATTTATATGATGAAATTACTCGAAACCCACTTTTTAGTTATTGGCAAAGCTTGAATTTGTGGTAGTAACTGGTACAGTTAGTGCTTTCCTAAAGGGAAGAACAATGCATTCCGGATCGATCGCCCAGTCAAAAAACACATTACCTCAATTCGCGAATCAAGCACAGATTTAATATCCTACACAGTTCTCATAGCAGCTTTGCCCACATTTGCTTAAAGACGCAGTATTGAGGCTTGTGGAAAGGTTGGAATGTAAAGCTATTGATGTAATTTAAACTCGAATCTTTGTAAGAATGCTTTATGGTTTGAGAAAGCATCTTACGCTTTGCATTTTGGGCGGAAATTTATGTTAACTAGGGAAGACATTTAAATTGTAGTTGTGCTGCTTTGTTGCATTTTGAAAATCAGATCTTTCCTTACTGTGGTCCAAGAAAAGTAGGTAAGAAATATGAAGGCAGAATACTTTTAAGTCTGAACTGTAGCAATGTCTTTGGAATCACTGACAAATTGTCACCTAGTACCATGTATGTGTGCTATCCACGCAGCTCGTGCACAGACTCTATAAGGCTTATTAATTGGGAAGTCTGCGAAGCGCGATCTGTTACATTTCTAACAAAATCCTCACGTCTTGTGAATTATTAGTGAAGTCGAATATTGCTGGGCGTTAAACAACACGCAGACTATGCGGTAATATTTCCCTCTTGTGACTTCTAACTGTTTACCTTCTCAGCACAGGGAGAAGCGATAGCCGTCTCTACGAAACATCGTACAGTTAGTAAAGACAAGAAAATTTCCTTTATGAAATCTTCTGTTTTGTTACCACTTAATGTTCCGAGTTCCCCTTTAAAATTTGAAGCATTAAACATGCATCCTCTCTACATAATAAACATTGCCGTGTAAAATTTGCCTCTTTCTAGGAACTCCCAATAAAAATAAAATTGTCCTGTCATTATTATTATTCGCAGTAATGCTACAACTGATCTGGTTACACAACAAATAAGAAGTTACAGTAGTTACTTATTCTACCCCTGATTCAACTACCCTAACCTAGCGTTGTCGAACGAGGGTCCAAATCTCTTTTTCACTAGGCCTTATTCCTATTGTATGGTCTAATCACAGTCGGTTAAATTTCACTTGATGGTCAATGAGAGCGGGGCCTGAGGTGAAACTGAGCGAAGGTCAATATGGGTATTGAGAAACTTCTAAGAAAGCTTAAACTTATCATAATCTCCTTGAAGCTGCTGGGCCATTGGCTTCTTACCGCTGGCATCCTAGTTGGTTCCCTCCGTCATCACGAGATTACCCTATGGGAAAGATGCTGCTGATGGTTGTGCTAACCCTGGAATAGTAGTGATAAACTCGCCGTTAGACCAATAGACAGAACAAGAAAGTGTGCTCAGGCGCTATTGGCAGACTCAATTTTCCTGACGTACCTGAGGTTTAGCCACTTTTATACCTCTCTAGCTCTGAAGGACAGGTTTTGACACGGCGAAGAAAATTTTGTTGTAATCGAAGAAAGTAGATCTCCAGCAAATCTTCTCAGTTACGTTTGGACTTCTTGTTGGTCATTAGCATTCACCATTCCAAAATTCCATTAGCTTGCTGGTCCTACGCCTAGAGTTTACTTATCCATTTATTCTAGCCACTCACGTGTTGGCACGTCATTGTGATCAAGCACATGCCCTCAGTAGACGCAAAGTGGAAGTGGGAGCTCGCCTTAATTAACCATACATCCTGAAATTCCCTAGTGGGGATTAGTTTGGTTCTCAACTGGGAGTAGAGTGCTATCCCATAGGCCTGCGGATGGCTTTAGTGATGACTAAGATTTTTTCGTCTTAGACATACTCAGAGTATAAAAGCTGGAAATGGTACCCTGCTGAACTAATCTTAAGTAGTTCGACACTTACATATATGTGCTAAAATAGTCAAAAGATGATATGTAGATGACAATTCTGGGAACCCTATTGCCTGGAAAACAAACATTGTTGTAAATTTTTCTTTATCGAAAGTTTATCTGCAAAACAGAAAGAATCATTTTAATACTTCGAGGCCCATTCATGACCTTGCCTCTGAATGTACGTCTAGTAGGTGTTTTAATCAAGAAAGACAATACCTATTGGGTGATTTGTTGAATGGGGCCAGTAACAATAAAAAATCTTTTAATATGCTTCAAGAAGTGATCCAGTTTGATTTTAAACATACTTCCCATTAAAGTAAGTTAATATTAAGGATAGTGAACTCTCTGTGCTCACATGTCTAAGAACGTGGTTATAAGATAACTATCGCTTTAGAGGCACAGCAATTGTTTTCCTTGATGGTAATCAAGTTCCGATCGGAGCTGGTTTAAATAGGCAGCAACAGTGCTCTGTTGTTTTATGGGGAATTCGAGGTGAGAATCGGCACCACCTAACATGCACGGATCACTCAGCTAAAATGTCATTGACATTGAGTGCCCTCTATTTCCGCATTCCAGAGTTAGAAATCCAACCTATCACGGAAGAACCAGGTCTGCGAGTCCTCAATTAAATGGATGTAATAAACACATTAACAATCATTTCTACTCATTTAAATTAATCCGAGGTGACTCTTATTTACCATTGTCTGCATGGAATCGGAGTCGCTGTGGTTCAGTGGGCAAGAGTTCTAATTCCAAAAGTCGACAAAAACCTGCCAAAATTCAAATGTGGAAACAAAGTTGAACCGTTTCCTTTCAAGCAAAATGGTTTCACTTAATAGTTTTTAGGGGCATTTGAATGACTCATGTCTGACTGTATACAAGGGTATACTCATTTCATCTGGGTCAAGAACTGTTCGTATCGTATGCACACTTCGGCCATTACCATCAACCAAATGCTCATCACACAATCCCAAAGATGTGTTGCCTCTCTCCTCCTCAGGTATGGGACAACGGTGAACAAAGGCATATCTTTCCATCAGTTTTCTACAGTCCATGTATTCGGGGACGACTGACTTCTCTAGAGCATGTGAATAAGAATGAGATGAGCAATACTGTTCCTTTGTTGAATAGTAACTTCGGAGAAAACTAATAGGTCTTCTTGGTGCCGGATACCAGCGTTTGCCGAAGGGTCTGTAGGTAAGAGGAAAGATGTCACTCATGTTAAATTTGTGATATCTTTCATGGAACTCCTGTCCTCTCACAGCATCAATTTCCCTGTAGTAAAAGATGTCAATGAATGGCCAAGCCCAGGGTCTACGGAAAAAAGCATGGCTGCCAATTGTGTTTAGGTCAGTTTTGGCACCTTCTTCCAGTGGCTTAAAAAAGAGCTTGTCTCGATTGTGGTGCCAAAACATTCCAAATTCAGGTTGAAGATTTGTTAGGGCCTCTTGAATTCGTGAACGATGGCGAAGGTGGACACACAAATCAGCATCATCGTCCCAGGGAATAAGGTCATGATGTTGAAGTGAGCCAAGCAGGGACCCAGAACCAAGGAACCACTGATCTTGCAGTTTCAAGGAAATCATAACCTGTTCAAACTGACTAATAAGCCTTTCCAAGGTGGCGTATTGGCCAGGACTCATTTTCATGTCGAAAGGTGCCAAGTTCGCAACCATCAGATTGTTGCTAATATTTGGTCGCTTTACATTTGGCCATGGAATGGAGTCTAGATCCAGTAGGTAGTCTGGATTTGACCCTTCTTCTGGTCTTACGATGTAATGGTGGGTCGAAGGTGGGGGCTCAAACACTCGACTAGAGTGCGTAACGCGGTGATAATAAAAGGCGAACAAAAAGAGTAGAACCGCGACTGGGAGGACTATGGCAACTTTGTAAACATTGCACGGCATCTACAATGAGGAAAGTGTGAACAATAAATCAGCTTGCTAGTGACATGGTCTTTATCAGTTTTAAAATTAATGGCCGAGTGACAACCGCCTTCCTCTGTTTCGTTTTCATAATGGCTTCATGCCCAGTGAGTCAGTATATGGCTTGTATCGACTTTGTTAGATTCCAGGGTAAGCGTGAAATGCCATCAGAAAGTAAGGCTTTTGTACCATGCATTCACCAGGTGACAAGGACATTCCATGAGTGCAAGAATCAGCGTATTTTTGCATTCCCATGCATAGAAGTGGT